ATCAACTAACCTTGACGACGGAACTGCCGCATGCCGCTCCCTCGTCTTTGAAGCCATCGTCCGTACCCGCCGGCTTCGGCTGCGAGTTAACTGTAAGTCAACATATAAATTTAAAGTCATTAAAAATATTCATATCCATATTTATTTACTTCTTAATAAAATTACATGTCACCTTACTACAATATATCGCACTAAATTACATTTTAAATTGACAACTATTATATGATTACTTAATAACAATTACAAAATATACTACAATTTTACAATGTGCTGTCGTAAGACGTGAAAAACCATAATTTCAACGTAGTTAGGGTTACCATATCTCAGGATTTGTCCTGAGATCTCAGGATTTTTGGACTCTTCTCAGGGTTGCGGCTGGATTTTGCAAATCTCATGAAATCTCAGGATTTTTAGAATTTTCAATACAATACAGCTTACATTTTAAAGATCTCTTTAATAAAAAGTGAAACTAATAATAATCTTCTTCTTCTTAATTAATAATTGCACAATTAAAATCAAAACTTATTTATCCAAGTAGGTATTTAAACAGTTTTATCATATTTACTATGTGAAGATACCCTTTTTAAGTAAGGTTTTTTCTTAAGTATTGATTTATATAATGCCCCACATGTTAAACTCGTCAAATTACTCGTAGGTATATTGAATTAAAAGTATAGCTCGAACTGAAGACACCGTTCGACGGTTTCTTTCATTCGACCATTGAGCCCCAATAATAGAAAAAATTCTTTCTACGTTTGTATTCTGGGCTGTAATTGCAAATATATATTGACAAATACGCATTATCTCTGGTAATCGTGAAATACCTATTGTCTTGAAAATGGTTAAAATATGGTATTGAGTATTTCATTTTAAATTGAGATTGATTGATGATGATTGGGTGACGTCATATCCCCGAAACTCTTTACCGCTGCATTGGAAGATGTTTTCGAGCTTCTGGACTGGAAAGGATACGGTATCAACATCAATGGCGAGTACATCACTCACCTTCGATTTGCCGACGATATAGTCCTTATGGCAGAATCGCTGGAGGACCTAAGCACTATGCTCAATGACCTCAATAGTGTTTCCCAACGGATAGGTCTTAAGATGAACATGGACAAAACAAAGATCATGTTTAATGTCCATGTCACACCTATGCCGGTAGTTCTTGGGAACACTAAGCTCGAAGTTGTTGTCGAGTATGTTTACCTGGGGACAAATAGTCCGACTAGGTAAGTCCAACTTCGACCGAGAGGTCAATCGACGGATTCAACTCGGTTGGGCAGCGTTCGGGAAATTACGGCACATCTTCTCGTCAGGTATACCTCAAAATTTGAAAACGAGACTGTACACCCAGTGCGTCTTGCCAGTGATGAGATACGGAACTGAGACGTGGTCCTTCACTGCTGGCCGGATGAGGAAGCTCAAGGTCGCTCAGCGAGCTATGGAGAGGGCTATGCTCGGAGTTTCTCTGCGTGATAAACTCAGAAATGAGGATATCCGCAGTAGAACCAGAGTGACCGACATAGCCCAACGGATTAGTAAGCTGAAGTGGCAATGGGCCGGCCATATAGCTCGAAGAACCGACAACCGATGGGGAAGAAAGGTTCTCGAGTGGCAGCCTCGTACCGGCAGGCGAAGTGTAGGGCGTCCCCCCACTAGATGGAGTGACGACCTGGTAAGATATGCAGGAAGTCGATGGATGCAGGTGGCTCAGGACCGTGCTTTGTGGCATTCTTTGGGGGAGGCCTATGTTCAGCAGTGGACTTGTGAAGGGCTGTAATGATGATGATGATGATGATGATGATGATTAAGTCTCGGATTGGGGGCGACTAAATCTAGTCCAGTTTAATCCTCAGAAGACACAAATTTGCGCGTTTACCGCTAAAAAGAACCCCTTTGTCGTATCACCTCAGTTTCAAGGCACTCCCCTTGCTGCCTCAGCCAGTATCGGAATCCTCGGCGTCGACATATCGAGTGACGTGCAGTTTCGTGGCCACTTGGAAGAGAAGGCCAAATTGGCCTCTAAAAAACTTGGTGTGCTCAGCAGAGCGGGACAGTATTTCATGCCGGCACAGCGCCTGCAACTTTACAAGGCGCAGGTTCGGCCTCACATGGAATACTGTTCCCATCTCTGGGCTGGGACTCCCCAGTGCCAGCTCCTTCCACTTGACTGCATCCAGCGCAGAGCGGCTCGAATAGTCGACGACCGAGTCCTTTCCAATCGGCTCGATTCATTGGCGCTGCGAAGAGATGTTGCATCTCTTTACATTTTCTTTCGCATTTACCACGGGGAGTGCTCTGAGGAATTGTTCGGATTAATCCCAACCGCTAAATTTCAAGAACGCACATCGAGGCAGAACTCCCGATACCATCCACACCATCTGGATATTTGGCGGTCCACCACTGTGCGATTTAGAAGATGTTTTCTTCCTCTCACAACTTCCTTGTGGAATGGTTTACCACCAGAGATTTTTTTAAGTACGTTGGAGAGAAATTTCTCAAACTGTAAAAAATCTCAGGATTTTTCAATAGAAATCAGGCCTTTTCTCCGGACTTTTGATTTTTTGATCTGGTAACCCTAAACGTAGTTGACTTTGGAGATTACGAAACTATAAAATCATTTTTTTAAAGAAATCACGTTAGTAAATAAATTAAATATTATCTTAGTAGGTACAATGTTTTTATATTCTTAACGAGAATTAAATAAAGTCTAGACTAACGGCTGTGTATCATCAAAGTTCGTTAAGGAAAGGGCGTCATCAGCAGTGTTAACACGAACCATTTCGACTTACTTTCGAAACCATAGCTCAAAAATTATTAAACCTACACACATAAATTTGCATGCCTAATAAGGACCCCATGAATACCCTAGAATCTTATTTTTACACTTATTTTTTGCATAAACCTATTATAAATCTTTAATAATTTAAAGTCTGAAAAGTGCCATTTTTATCACTCACTCATTCATCGAAAATCTAGATCACTTCTAGGCTACTTCTTACCTAAAATTTGCTCACGCAGCCTTAAAAGCAAAATTAAATTTAAAAAAGAAAAGAATGAATAGGGAACGACACCGATAGTTGATATTATAATGAGTATAGTGTTGGCAGTTATTACTTTTAACTGGGATTTTATTTCGATGCATAGATCAGTGTATTTCACTATTTTTTCGGTGTACAATTTTTTTTACGAACGGTGTAGGTGGAGGCGTTGTGAGATTTCGTAGGGCTTTATCTATAAGATAAACTATTTCGTGTTTTTTTTGTCATGTGACATGACATCTGGCCTATTGTAATGCACACATGTATAGTTCTTTACCAGTAGAGTTTAAATTCTAGGGTTTTTTTTATAGGATAGAGTGACAAACGAGCACACAGTCCACCTGATGGTAAGTGGTTGCTGTGACTCATAGACATCTACATCTATCCTCAATAAAGAATCAAAATGCAGATGCGTTGTCACCCGTGAGGACTAAGATGGAATGCCTCTTCTCCAGTAAAAAGGGTCTCCGGTTCTCAACACTCACTATACGAAACATAGCAGTGCTAAGCTGCTATTATACGCTGGCATTCTGTGAGAGCGTGGTCCTACCCCGGTCGAGCTGACCCATTCGTGCTACGTACAAAACGTAGGGTGGCAAATATTATTTAGGGTTTGCATTTATAACACGAGGGCAGTTTGATAAGTCATGGCTTAGGTTTTTCACGAGTCAATCGGTGAGTCCTAAAAATGGCGCTATTCAGTCACTAATAACTCAAGAACTTCTTATGATTTGAGACTCTAAGTTATTCACGGGGTCCTTATTAGGTATGCAAAATTATAAGTATATAGGTCTAATGTTTTTCTAGATAACATATGCTGTTCTATGTGGCTCGAAATGGTTCGTGTAATTTGAAAATGCCAGTGCAACGACCTTTTCTTTTTCGAACTTGGCTGACACACCACCGTTTGTCTAGATAACTGAACGCAAATGAAACATGGAAGACTTCCAAAATAATATATTACAAAAAATATATTATACAGAAAATAGATATATCGGCTATATCAAAAACCGCTTCTTTGCTACTTTATTATCACCTTAAAAAGGGAGAGGATTTACAATTCGACTGTATGTTTTTTACAATATCTTCGTCAATTGTGAACCGATTTTGATGATTCCTTTTTTTTTATTTAATAGTTTATAATTTCAGGGGCTGAACTCATATAAATCTCAGACTCCTAAGAATGACAAAATAGGGGTAAAGTTTTGAATGTTCCTATTTACACGACATTGAGATCGTGATATTCCTTCGTTCAAAAAAAAATATAAAAAAGTACTTTTATTAGAAAGTAAAAGTAGACTTCAAGGAAAAGAATAAAATACTTTCACATTCTGAAATTAGCGCTTTAATTCTGCTATTCTCATGTATTCACCGACGAATTATTACCGACTATTTTAAATCAAAAGTATACTTTTTTTTAGATTTCCATAAGATCCAAAACAAAATTAATTAGTTTCGAAGATGACATTGTGAACGGGGCCCCAAAAAAAACAAACAAGAATTAATTTAACTATGGAAATGACGATTTTCATATGTCCAAAAAAGAACACAGAACCCTTAAAAAGTAATTAATACCATTACCGTCCTAAACATTGCACTTTACTACAAAAAACAACGTCCCAGGTGTCGAGAGGCGCGGGCAGTGGCGTCGCAAAAATGTTGAAAGCCACATACGTATTGAATAGCAATTGAAACCCAAAAACAATCATAAATAAGGTCGCCTTTAAACTGTGCGTCTCGAGTCGTAATAAATATTAATAAACTGTTACCTAATCAATGATACAGTTCTAATATGTTTTGTTAGCAATTTTAGGTCAAGATGCGCGCTTAGGGCTTCAAAGATATTGAAGGTTGAAGCAATACTTTCTTGTTTTATTTGGATTAAATGTAAATAATGCAATGTTAGTATAGTAATAATTCTAGATGATGCAAGCTAAGTATAAATAGTCCAAGAGAGTGTTAATCCCAGCTTATTCCTGATCAAATCGTCGGGCACGTGTTGTTAAAAAATTTGTGTAGAAAGGATCATATCCGAGCTTTATGACT